TATGTGGTAAGTGCCATGGTAGATTAGACCATTATTGTACTGTATATGTATAGCACATTGCATTTTTATTGAGATATCTAAAATAGTATTATCTATCATCATTTTCTAAAAGGAGACTGTTTTCTTTTAGGGTCAATAGCAGTGTTGTTAGAGCCCCTTTTGAACCGTAATGAGAAACAGACTTTTAAGATGTTGTGTGTCCAGGGAAGGAAAAAAAAATCACATTTGTTTAACAAACTCCTGACATTTCTCATCTTTAATACCACCTCAAGTGTTGCTTGACACAATTAGTTTTGATATAAACTGAATTATATTGTTAATGTATTGACAGTTAATGTAATACTTGAGGCTAGATAAGCTGTTTATCTATGGAATAGGTAAGTAGCAAGTCCTCAAAGTCTAAAGTTTTGTCATTTATTTTATTCTGTAGTGTTTGTCTGCTTAAGGCGGTGTCTCACTAGCCGACTGAAAACATATTTTGGTCTCTTCTGTTAGGTTAGGTTGCTGTTTATTTGAATGATGTGAACAGTGTTTTCTGAAATCGGGAAACAGTTCATGTGAACTAGGGATGCTCCGATCGATCGGCCGGAGATCGGTATCGGCCAATAATCATATTTTATGACTCGATCGGTACTTACTACACTTGGCCGATCTCACGAACCGATCGCAATTTGATGACGTCAATGCGTGACGACGTACATGATGCGTGGGGACATAAATGATTTGGCGCCACAGTCAAGTCATCGCCGGTGTGGAAATGCTAGGACGTTTCGAGAAACAATGAAAAATTTGCTATTTGTCGTGTATGTTTTGCATGATGATATGATGAATAGATGGTTAATTTTTAACTGCAGATTCAGTGACGTTAGAGCTGATCTGCACCTCGTTACGGCTCCATGGGGACCGGAGCTGATCGCGGCCGCTCTAGTCAGTGCTTGTGTTTATGAGCCAGCCGCAGCACGTTTCTGAAGCGGCTCTCCGCGCTGCTTGGCTAAAAATAGTATTTTGTGAGGTGTCACAGCGTGGAGGACGGAACAAAACCTCGTCGGAGCCGTAAGGGATAATGGTAACATAATACGCTGGCCGTGGGCTGCTTTTAAATGAACATTTATTTATAAAACAAAATATCTTTGGCCATATTAGCCTACTCAGTAGCATTAACACAGGCTTTACTCCTTTCAAACTTTATCTGGAATGTCACCATTTCTGTCACTGCAACTTCCCGATCAGGCGAACGAACACACACACACACGAAATCGTCTGCCTCATGAAAAAATGTATTTAGAAAAAAATTTAGTTAATATTAGCATCATTTATGATTTATTTTATCCACCCACGACCCACCTGCAAATAATCAGAATGCATTTTTTATTACCCGACCCATGGATATAGGAAAAGCAAAATATGTTTGCTGCGTAAATCAGGACTTACTGAAAATGCAAATTAATTCTCTGCCAGCAGGAGGTGCTTTAAAGTGGGAGAAACAGAGGTTTCCCCAGTAACGGCTGTACACAAAGCAGCATTGAGCTCACAAATGCAGCTTTATCAGGCATATAACATTCAAGATTAAATGAAAATGACAACGAACATTTTCTAAAGAAGTCTTCCTTCAGAAATACAGTGATATAAAAACACCCGCACCTCGTTTTGATTGTTAAACGTGCAGTACGTGCTCATGTTTATTCAATGAAGCCTTTTGGAAAATCTGTCAGTTTTGATATTGTGGCGAGCGCCACAAATACATAAATGTATGAGAAACACATCCCACAGCACAACCACCTGAGCCCAACTTCAGTCTACTCATCACCTTAACTTTAACTGCATTTGTAGCCGGCGCCATAGCCAGACTGATAAACAAACACAGACCGGAAGTGAATTTCGGGCCAGGCTCGTGCGCCCTATGACGCCGTCTATATAAAGCTTGAAGCATCAGAATCGGCATCGGTATCGGCCGATCACCATGACAAGAAATTGATACTCAGTATCGGCTGCAAAAATCCTGATCGGAGCATCCCTAATGTGAACTTCTATACAGTTTGCTGCTGATAACCACAGTCCTAAATCGTATGGTTTGTCAAGATGTGCCAGGGATCACTTTCCTGACAACTGGGATGATAAATGTAGAAAATTAATCTTGCATTCTTTGGAACATTTGCAATACATTTGCAGAAACAAACAACAAAAATAGTGAGGGGAGTGGTTCTCCTGTGCAATCTGTATTAAGCAGCAGAAGTAAACAGCTGCGGCTGTTGAGGAAAAAGTTTGGATCAGATCCGAGCAGGACTGTGGCTTGTCAGTTCTTCAGAAGCATCCCTCTTCACCACCTGAACGATAATGTCAAACTAGACTAAAGTTGACTTCAAGTCACAGCAAGGACTTAATGCTCCATCAAAGAGTTTCTCCATCAGAAATTGACAGAAAAATCGGCTAGTGAGACTCTCTTTAAGTATACTTTAAGACAGACCTTTTTCTGAATGATTAATATTATAGTGATGCACCAATATTTTAGCAAACAAAAATATTTTGGGGTGCCTGATATCATTGACCAAAACGGTGACATTTAATTAGCGCTTCTTTGATGGCGCATTTTGACTGTCAGTGTCTACTATGTGCACAACATAGATAAGCTACAACATGTACATGTGAGCTGTGTGGATGCTAGGGCTAGGTTGACAATTTAATCAATTTGGATTTTGATGAACCAAGATCTCTTAGTCTATGATGTTTTCATTTAATGCATTAACAAAACATTATTTGTAGTGTGCCTATTATCCAATGTTCACAATAAGCTTTGTGCTTTAAGCAAAGTCCAATAGTGGAGAGTGCAGCTCGGGGTTCTGGTGCTGTAAGGTCAAGGTGCTCTCTGGTCTAGGGTTTATAACAGTCCATCAAAGAATAGTTCAGAATGACCATGGCACTCTGGTGAATTAAAAAGCCTTTATTATCAAATGGCTACATCCAAGAAATCTAAAAACTCTGGCAAAGCACAGCTTTGTGCTTTGTTACTTTTAATATGAAACAAAGACTGAGCTTTCAGATTTGGTCAATTTTATAATGAAATTCAGACAAGAAATGTCATATTAACTCTCTTTGGTGTGGTGTGACAGATTGCTGTAGCAATCTCAGTTCAAGTAGCAGCACAGTGTCCGTGAACCAGCCATCACTTCCCGTTTACTGCTAGTTGTATAACAGAATAAATTTGACCATCAGCTGTTAAAAGAAACAGTACAACTCACTGACATGTATCATGTCTTATGTAATCACTCATTGAGTGTTTCAAACAAGGAAAGTAACTTACATTTACCTCAGGAAAGCCATTCAATGTCCATTGCTCGTTAGAAAAAAGGGAGAAAAACGCTAGAGGAGCATTTTGCTAAATATATACACTGTTGTCTTCCTTATTCAAGCTATGTTTGAAAAGGTTTGTCATGAAAAGTTTTCATTAGTCAGTTTAAATGTTTATTTCAACAACAAATTGGAGCAGAAACAATTATATCATTAAAAAGTTGATAAAACTGACTTGTGTGCAATTTGAATGTTTATATACAATTAAGTTTTTATTTGAGTCTCGCATATGAAAGCATATAGCATATTCTTTGGTATTTGGCTAAATGAAAACTTAAGGTTTCGTGTTTTAGTAAAAAAATCATTTTGGTGCATCACTATTATACATTTAAGACTTGGATATTTCTGACTGCTGATGATGGCATACAAAAATACTCTTTCAAACATTTTCAAGTGTATTCATGTCATTGGATAACTTTAGAATTGAAAGCCTATTCAGAGCTCACTAAGTGATGAGATCCCAAACTCAGATGGCTGAATAATGCCACTGTTGCTGTCGCAGTGAACTAGGCAACGGTCCATTCCTTCTGCCTACCTCACTTTCTAATTTAAATTATTTTCTTCCTCCATAATTTCTTGACCTTGGCCCCATGAAGATGTGGAGGATGTTAAATTTGTCATCAACTATGACTATCCAAACTCTTCTGAGGATTATGTTCATCGCATTGGGCGGACAGCCCGCAGCACCAACAAAGGCACAGCCTATACCTTCTTCACACCTGGTAACCTTCGGCAGGCTCGTGATCTGGTCCGGGTTCTTGAGGAGGCTAGACAGGCCATCAACCCCAAACTACTGCAGCTGGTGGACACAGGTCGTGGGGGAGGGGGAGGTGAGCATTTTAAATGAGCTGTAGTTGGGCATGCATATTTCAATTTGTATTATGTCCTTTGAGTGAAAACCTTAATTTCCAGGCTAGTCGGACACCTTTTGGAGGTAAGTTTCTTTCAAAATTTCTTATCACTAGCCTAATCCCTGGACTCTCACTGGCTACTTCCGTAGGTGGAAGGATGCGTTATCGTGGCAACAACTCAACCTCAAATAACCCCAACCTGATGTACCAGGATGAATGTGATCGCCACATGCGCTCCGTAACCGGAAGTAACAAGGGCAGCCGCAGCAACAACTTGAGCCGTGATGGAAGGTTAGGTGGGAGCAGCCGTGACGACCGTATGTCCTCTTCTTCTTACAGAGACCGCAGCAGGGATGGACGAAACAACTACAACTCGGGACCCTCCTACAACAGTGGAGGAGGTGACCAATTCCAGAGCTGTGGGGGCGGAGGAGGGGGGCAGTATGGCTCCAGAGGCGGAGGCTCGCATCCAGGTGGGGGTGCAGGAGGGCAAGATCAGGCTGGACCTCCCCAAGGTCTGTTTGGAGCAGCTCCACCAACTCCTCAGCCTGGGCCAGGTCCGCAACCACTCATGGCACAGCAGTTCCCTCCTCCACCACAGCCTATCATGGGGTTCATGGGTCCTGGGCCATACCCATTTGCCTCACCACCACCACCCCTTCCTCCCCCTCCTAGAAAGTAGCATCCAGAGGCTTTGCTGTCTTTTCAGTTTTTTTTTTCTTGTTGTAATTGTAACCTGCCGTTTCCAGTCTGAAGTTTTGAATATAGCTGTGTAATACATGGTGTGCTCTTTATTTTCTGTTGTGTTGTGGTAGAAAAGGATGGCTTTGCATTTAATCAAGCAAGTGGTCCAGGGTCTTGAGTGAAGGGCTTCTGATCCAATACAATGCTTTATAGTTCTGTGGTTCTCAAATCTGGTCCCTATAGCAAAACCAGTTAGGAACAATCGTTAAATATCTAGACTTTTTTGTGCATCTTCCCAGGTAAAAGAGTTCATCTTTTGATTACAGTTTGTCAGTACTTATTGATATTTTAATCGATTTGCACCCTCCAGTGTCATCAGTTCTCAGACTTGCAGAATAATTCATAGATGGAGATTTTATTTTTTTTGTAGGTAATTTCCAGTTTGAAAGCTAACGTCTCTGCATCTTACCTTAGCATACCATTAGGCACTTAGTATGCTACAGTATACCATAACCTTTACCCAATGCAAACGTTTAATTATACCATTGTATGCATTACTATGTATGCATATCAGGAATTACAGACAGCTACTATTTGGGATCCTGAATAGACTGTGGAATCATATTTGTTCACAAGACCACCTCTCTGATTGAAAGGGACCTGGAAATAAATATAAGTTCTTTTTGTATAATCACTTTGTTTTACAGATTTTAATAAAAGAGATAAATTCAGATTGCTGTCATTGATGCTTGACTATTACCTCATCCAAAAAACAACAAAAAAACACCAACTCCTCAGCCTGTGCCAGGTCTGCACCCACTCATGGCACAGCAGTTCCCTCCTCCACTACAGCCTATCATGGGATTTATGGGTCCTCATTTAAAAAAACAAACAAAAAAAACATTTTAAACCCCAGAGAAAAAGAATAACTTTATTTCCCTTAAATACATATTTGCACTACATTCACTTCTCTGTACTGGTTTTTGGCAAATGTACATAATAGCAATACCAATCTTATTTACACTTCATCAGGTTGGATAGACATTAATGATCTGGAATGGAACGGACTTCATCACAGACCTTTAAATGTAAGAAGTGACAAACTAGAATTGTTTAATTTGGGGGAACAGTGATTTCAATTCCTGTCTACAAAGAATTCCTATGCAGCAGCATTCTGATTCCACTTAAATATAACCGAAGTACCGTTATTTAAATTACCCGTGTTATCATCTTGAGTACACAATTCTTAAATGATCTCTTATGGGAATGGTAAGGGTGAAATTATTCATTAAACTACTGCATTGAGAGCCCAGATTAGATGTGGAACCATCAGGGATTTACAAAAACAACAATCTCAACCAAAAAGGGCAAACGCTTCTGTTACACAGCCAAATAAAAAAAAGCATCAACACAAAATGTCTATATTCACATAAGCATGAAAAAACAAATCTGATTAGGCACGTACGGTAAATATAAACAAGACATCAGCATGAAGTTCAAGAGCAGTACAGTGGACATGGGGCTATTTTAGGGCAATCGTAAATTAAGATGAAAAAATACATTGAATGACAAGGGGCTATGTGATTTGTAATATATAGAGCATTTGAATTTAAAGTATTTCTTGAAAAGAAATTTATTTTTTAGTTGCCATTAAAACCACATGCAGCCTGACAATACAATCAAACACACAAAAAGATCAAGAATGTGAGCAAGTGAACAAAACCTATTAATCAACAATGAAAATGAAACAATTAGTGCAGAAAATTAACCTGCTATATGCCATTACAGCTGACAGACTCCCATTATCTCAATTCACACATGGAAATAATGTCCTAAATGACCACAAAACTCTTAACTTTCAAACATTTAAAGCTTCATACAAAAAGGGCCGGACATACTAGAAAACAAAATAAAGCTGAAAAAAAGAAAGAACAACTGAAATTAAAAATAACGAGTTCATTTAAAGGCCTCATTCAGACGTTAAGGAGAGGACAGAAGGATGTGGACCAAAGGCAGAGTCATTGACATAGTCTGGATATGAACTGCTATAAGGAAGCAGAGGGGCCACTAGCAGGAAACTTTTAAAGGTTTCCCCAGGACTCTGGTGGAGGGAACTGCTCTACATCTCCGCTCTCATCGTGTGATTCTTGTCCTAAATCAAATGTCAGTTTGTATCTCAACTGCACATTCTCCTTCAAAAAGAAAGAAAACTTGTATGAAATTATGAACTTGAAGAAATGCAATGTAATCAGATCATATTTGCAAATCAGCAACATAGACAGCCACACGTGTATGACATAAGCCACAAACCATAACCCTCACAGTTAGTAAGCTTTCCTGACAAATTATATCCACATTTTTTGCATAGGGCTGCAACAGTACACAAAATTCACGTTTCAGTACATAACTCAATATTGGAGTCACAGTTTGGTAAGTAGAGAGAAAAATAATCTGTCTTGAAATTATTATTCATGTAAAAACAATGGCACAGTTATAAGTCTTCCTTTCACTACCAAATGTCAGGTTTCAGATATACATTTTTATTTTACAATTTATGAGGGGGGGTTTCAGACAACAAATTGTGAGCGTGTCTACATAGAAACTGTGAATAGTAATTCATTTGATAACATAAAATGACTTCGGCGGTGATTTTTTATACAGTACCTTATAAATAAGCGCAGTTGTAGGGGGGGATCTTATTTCCAGTATATTTGGTCTTGTTAGTTCTTGCTCCAAAATATTTTTATACAATACATTTGGTGCACTCTGTCATTTTAAGTACCGTACTGAAAGCCCTATATTTACATCCAATATATATGTACCACTGCAGCCCAACTACTACATAATATTCTCCGAATACATCTGTTTATTTACCTTGTGAGGGTTGGCTAAAAGCAGGACCTGTGTAATGGCGGCAGGGGGCAATAAAGGATTGAAGGCAGGTAAATCTGATCCCGATGGTGGCTGCAGCTTTACTCTCATAGTCTGCACATACATACAAGCAAACAGCTTCAATACAGAATTCTAGAGATTGACTAGAGATGGATGATAAATAGAGCTACCTTAGGAACAGCCGCCTGGAATCGTACATTTGTGATGGGCACAGGGGCAGATGACAACATGGAGATTATCACCACTAAAACATCAGGCCGTGCTGGTGGAGAGTCTCTTGCAAAATGGAACAGAACTCGAAGGCTGTGTTTATCAAAGATTGTCACAGGTAACAAGCTACCTGTTACAGATAGGAAACAACAACTGGGTCAACACAGCCTTACATTAAAACAACAAAAACAGCATTCACAATGTCACCACAATTTTCAGAGTATAGACAACTAAACATTTATTCACTCATGTAAATCCAAACCATTTAATTTTCTTTCTTCCATGGAACACATCTACGTACTAGTTACTCTTTTTCATACAATTAGTCCCCATGCAGACTGAGGCCTTCAGGTGTCAAAAAGAACATAAAGGCACCACAAAAGAGGTCCATATGATAGCCATCTTCCAAGTCTTCAAAAGTAATATGATAGCTTTCTGAGGAACAGACTGAAATGTAAACTCTGTTGATAACAGGGGTGTAAATCGTACATTTGTGATGGGCACAGGGGCAGATGACAACATGGAGATTATCACCACTAAAACATCAGGCCGTGCTGGTGGAGAGTCTCTTGCAAAATGGAACAGAACTCGAAGGCTGTGTTTATCAAAGATTGTCACAGGTAACAAGCTACCTGTTACAGATAGGAAACAACAACTGGGTCAACACAGCCTTACATTAAAACAACAAAAACAGCATTCACAATGTCACCACAATTTTCAGAGTATAGACAACTAAACATTTATTCACTCATGTAAATCCAAACCATTTAATTTTCTTTCTTCCATGGAACACATCTACGTACTAGTTACTCTTTTTCATACAATTAGTCCCCATGCAGACTGAGGCCTTCAGGTGTCAAAAAGAACATAAAGGCATCACAAAAGAGGTCCATATGATAGCCATCTTCCAAGTCTTCAAAAGTAGTATGATAGCTTTCTGAGGAACAGACTGAAATGTAAACTCTGTTGATAACAGGGGTGTTAATTTCGTCTAACACTCAAGCTGTTGTGGTTGCGCCATGACAGCGCTCGTGTCCGTTGTAGACATTACTGTCCGTAACAGTGTTGCCAAGTCCGCGGTTTTACTGTGGAATTGGGCTACTTTATCACTGTTGCCACGGGTTGTTTTTCATGTCCGCGGGTTGAAGCGACCCCAATAACTTGTATTTTAGACCCCGGAACGTGATTTTTACTGGGGGACCCCCTCGAAACGCAGATAGTTTGGGCTAGTTTTGAGTAGCAATTGGGCGGGTTTTGTTATGAAAACCTGGCAACCCTTTCCCTCAAGCAGGTAACGTTATTATTGCTAACTTAGCGGACTCATCGAAAATACATTGGCATCATCTGTATTAAAGAGAAAATAATCACAATCCGATGTTTAAGTGAATAAAATAGCCTGACAGCCTTACTTGCTGGAGTTCCACAACTATTGGCTTTGTTCTCGCTCACCGGACTTGTGTGTCTGTAGGTGATGTAAAAGAGGAAAGCAGGCATTTGGACCAAAGCACTGTGAGGCAAGGGAGGGGGAGACTCAAAATGTTTCTAAACTTAAACGCATTTTTGGCCCGTTTGTGTTGTTTTAAAACATTTGTTTTTTTACAATGCACAGCCTGGTTTTTAATCATGTTTTTAGGGGGGGACAACCCTCAGATTGGGGGCGGGGGTCCTGTCCCCCCACCTATGGTTGATAATATTACTCTATTTTAAGCTGATAACCAGATTGAGTAAACAGCACAATGATTCGCCGCCACTTCTCCAATGAACAGACCATAAAGAGCTAGAATAGACACATTATAGGTAAAAGTGATCATGTGGCTCAGTCATTGTTTCAATTTACAAGGTTGCTTTACAAAACTGATTTGGAAAATGTGTTCATCTGTATTTTTAAGTTTAGAACTTAATTAAAGCAGGCTTTACCTAGAGAAAAACACATTAAAATAAATGACATTACACTTCAAGTAGCAGAGGAAATGGCTGTCGCTACACTACAGTCATGGCCAAAAGTTTTGGCAGTGACAAATTTGGTGTTTTGCAAAGTTTGCTTCTTCGGTATTTGTAGATTATTTTTCCACATGTTTCTATGGTATACTGAAAAACAATAAGCATATCATAAGTTTTAAAGGCTTTTATTTGCAAAAAAATATAATGAATCAATATTTACAGTGTTGAACCTTGTTCTTCATAACCTTTGCAGTTCGCTCTGGCATGCTGGATATTAGCTTCTGGGCCAAATTCTGACTGATGGCGATCCATTCTTGCCTTATTAGGTCTCAGAGTTGATCACAATTTGTGGGCTTCTGCTTGTCCACTCGCCTTTTGAGGACTGACCACAGGTTCTCTATGGGATTGAGATCCAGGGAGTTGCCTGGCCACGGATCCAAAATTTCAATGTAATGATCTTCGAGCCACTTCTTTATCACTCTTGGTTTGTGACATGGTGCTCCATCAAGCTGGAAAATGCACGGATAATCACCAAATTGCCCATGGATCGTTGGAAGAAATTGCTCTTGCAGGACGTTTTGATACCATTCTTTATTCATGGCAGTGTTTTTGGGCAGATTTATGAGAGAGCCCACTCCCTTGACTGAGAAGCAACCCCACACATGGATGGTCTCAGGATGCTTCACTGTTGGCACAACACAGGACTTAGGGTAGCGTTCACCTTTTCTTCTCTTTTTCCAGATGTCCCAAACAGTCGTAAGGGAGCTTCATCAGAGAAAATAACTTTGCACCAGTCTTCTGCTGTCCAATCATTGTACTTCCTGCAGAATTTCAGTCTGTCCTTGACATTTTTCTTGGAGATAAGTGGCTTCTTTGATGCACTTCTTGACACCAGGCCATTGTCCAAAAGTCTTGGCCTCACTGTGCATGCAGATGATCTCACACCAACCTGCGGCCATTCCTGAGCAAGCTCTGCACTGGTGGTGACATGATTCCATAGCTGACTCCTCAGGAGGAGACGGTACTGGCGCTTGCTGGACACTCTGGGATGTCCTGAAGACTTCTTCACTGCAGTCGAACCTCTCTCCTTGAAGTTCTTGATGATCTGGTAAATGGTTTTTTCAGGTGCAATATTCTTTGTAGCAATTTCCTTGCATGTGAGGCCATTTTGATCCAAAGTGATGATGGCTGCACGTGTTTCTTTGGAGGTAACCATTGCTAACAAGAACACAATGATTGGAAGCGCTTCTTCCCTCCTTTTATAGCAATCAGTCTGCTCTTGCAATCTAATTAGTATGATAGTGATTTTACCTGACTAGCACTCATTCACACTTTCACATGTGCTGCTGATATGATTAGTCAATTAATGTTAGCTGGTCATTTTGTGTCAGGATCAAAAAACTGTGAATTTTTTAAATTTTTTTTGTTGAAAAGTTCATTTTTTGGCCAATTAAGCTTTTAGCAATTATTTAAAATGCATCTGATCACTCTACACAATAATCTAGAAACAATGTGAATGAACACCACGACAGCTTAAGCAGTAAACTTTGCAAAACACAAAATTTGTCACTGCTAAAATGTTTGGCCATGACTGTACATTCTCTGCGACTTTAACTGTGAACTGTATCCTGTCTGTCTGTTCCTAAATGAGATATTTGCTAACTATAATTTTTTTAATAAGATTTAACATTTTCTACAGCCTTATATTCTGAAATTTAATTTAAGTCATTTAAGACTTTTTGTAATTGCATGGAAAAGAGTGACCAGCCCAATTTAAAGTTTGCTCAAAGTCTTACTAGGTTTGATAGACTCCAGGGGCACAGTCACATTCACCAATGATATGTCATCCTGAGGGGCAGAAGCTGGAGTGATGCCTGTTGGGAGCTGGGAATTCAGGAGAGTGCCTGGCTCAGAGGAGAAGGTCAACACAGGGCTGGGGGTTGTAGCAGTGTTGGTTCCAGACTTGATCTGAAGGTCTCGTAGTGTGGGCTTGGATTGAGACTGTAATTTGTCCCTGTTGAAGAAGTTTCAATGTATTATCTGTTGCACCATATATATTTTTAAAGCATGAATATTAATCACACTTTTCCATAATTTTTAATGCATTTTCACAATAAACATTTGCATGTAAACATTAACAAGCAACCATTTTCCAATTATACATTCCAAAGGCCTTAAGAAAAATTATGTTTGATGTGCTTCGCTAAATTAATAAAAAAAAAATGGAAATAAGTATAAATTTACCATTTGACTTGAAGACTTTCTGGGGGTAGAGACTGCTGCAGCAGGGTCTTACCCAACAGGTCTAACTCATCTAGCGAATTAGTGGATGTCACAGGCACAGTAACAAGTGTCTTGGTAGCACTCGCCTCTGGCAACAGCACTGCAGGGGCCGGCATAACAGCTGCATCCACAGACTCTGATGACTAACAAACCCGTAATGTGTTATGGTAAGCAGGGATACATATGACATTTACGCAAGCCATCAACAGACTAGGGATGTGAAAATCGACACATTTTCATAATAATCGGTGGGTTGTCGACTAGTCCGTCTTAAGAAAGACATGTATTTCACATCATGTTCACCACACTTTTTTCTAGCAACCCTCTACAATGCGAGTTAATCACTTACATATGCGACTAAATCTTCACTCTGGGCGACTAAATGATGTCTAACATTAGCCTTTGGCTAATAAATTCTTAGATTTTACTCTTTACTCCGAGTTGTAGGCTAAGTATAAGTTTAGCACAGATAGGCCAATTTCACTCTCTGTCAAGCGATCTGTGCTATTTTTCAATTCATCTAAAGGATGTGCAGCGTAGCTGAATTTGACGTACTGTAAACTCAAGTGTGAAGGCGCACAACTCGCCGTCGTGCTGAGAGCACCGTTTCTCACACACACAAAGAAAGAGCGAGAGAGAGTCTTACATACCATGCAGAATTGATGCGTTACATGTAAAATATATTCTTTGTATTCTAGTATTTTTTTATTTTCCTGTTCATTGGAATTCTTCAGCTTTTAAGAACAACCATAAGATACTGTCGGTTTCTCCGGTAGTGGACAGAACTAATGCTCAAATGGCAATCTCATTGGCTGGCGCGCGCCTATTATCGCCCCTGTTTTGATTTCAGCAAATCAGTTCGAGTGAATGCACACAACGTGATTCATATTCATGAACCCAGCATCTCATTAATCCTTAGTGCATTTTATATTGCTATTAGTAGTAGAATTCGTAGTATTATTATTATTATCTTATCAGTATTATTGTTAGTTTTTTTCCTGTTCTTTTTTTTTTTTTACAGAAACACTGAATGACCAACAATATCTTAAGCACCACCACCAGTCCTAAGTTCAGTTAAAATTACAAATATGCATTAATTCATGGTTACCAAGTTTTAATTTTTAATTACTAAAGTTCTATCATTAAATAATGCTTGATTATCATAATATCATATTATAATGCTTGACTGACTGATGTTAAGAGTGTACTTTCAGATATTTAAAAAGCTGTGCCAAAATATAAGCTTTTTATAAATATATATATATATATATATATAAAAATTGTATATCAGTCTGGCGAGTAAACTAATAAATTTACTAACCAATGGCAATTCTATTGCTAAGGTGTGCGTAGAGGGTTGAATGGGGTGTTCACACTGACATACAGTATACTGTTCAAAACCTACCCTCCCCAACCTCCTAAAAAATGCAGTCTCTTAAGATGCATTTTTAAGTTTTTAACTAGGGGTTTGCATGACTGTTTGATCTGCAATTATTACTTGAACAGTAAAAATACTACTAGAATTTTACTTTTTTTCCTGCTAGCTAACAGAAACGGTGACAAAATCTTAATCATTAAAACAAATAATTCAAAACTTCCTCATTAATTAACTTAATTTAAATAAATAACTGAATATTCTTTTTTTTAAATACAATATTATTAAAAAATGCTCATCCCTATTTTTAACTAAAGCAAAAGTAAACCATTCTTTAATTAAATCCTGAATGGCACAAAGCCTGTTTTTAATTTGACACACCATCTTAAAACTCATGGCACAAGGAAAAAAAAAAAAAAAAAAACTGATTACATTTGTATTTGTACTAGGACTGTTGTCAAATCATAAAAAAAAACATTTTTAAAAAACTGCAAAAAGTATGCATTCACATTTATGACAAGTTGCAAGCATTAAAACACCAATTAGCATGAAATATTATTTGAAATTGGGATACAAGTAAAGAAAAAAAAATTCAGCCCAGACAGTCTGTTAACAGATGTGAGATTATTGGCATGTTGTAAAACCTGCATACTACGATAAATACTGTTAATTAAATTAGAAATCTAATCTAGATAAATTAGTCAACTAGCTGCTTGGTGGATAACTAGTCAACCATCCTGGCACGTCCCTAAAACATGATTACAACACAAATAGATGTAACTGATTATTATTGTGCTCACCTGAAAAGTATTCCATGTCATGTCATCTCCAGGTTGAGAAGTTGCCAGATTAGAATTGACTTCAGTCAAGCCTGAAACAGTTACAAACAAACATGATAATGTTAGGTCACACATGTATGCAATCACAACACTTAAAGAGTCTGAAAAGTTTCTGCTGAGTTAGCTTTCTCCTGAAACTCAAGTTTACCAAACCACTCCTTTTGAAATTATAAATGGCCAGTGGCCTAAAACAGTCTCCCTCAGCCAGTGCCATCCAGACAACTGTCAGATGTCTGAATGCATTTGTTGATCATTACATGCTACACAAAAAAGTTTTTTTGTAAATTTTTTGTTTAACATTGCACGGAGTTGGTCCTCACTAATTAAAAAAAAAAAGTAAATTCCATTATTAATCACAATTACAATATCAAAGGAAATAATCTAAAATGATGATTTTTGTCCCTAGGGGCCAGCTCACACAGGATGCGTATCTGCATTAAAACACGTCTTAATACCTCAATGTTGTTTAGTTTAATTGATTCAGTCTAGCTGAATTTTGTTTTATTTAATTTGTGAATAGATTATACACAAACAGCAAGCAAAAATTTCAGCGCAAACTCAGAGATTTACACTCACAAAAACTATTGCTATTACAATCAATGAAGTTGATGTAGGAATTTCAGAAGCAAAGACCAGGATACTCTGGTGTATCTTTAGCAGGAACGTGCTGTGGCAATGCAGTCATCAAAGTCTGATTCTGCACATTGTAGTTTTCTATACACAGGGTTCCAACTCTTTCATGAACACCAGATTCAAGGACTTTCAAAGACGTTTTAAAGCACCATTTATTTGATATCAATCACCTATCAAATTCACACCCTATATAGGCCTATAGCATCATAAAAGACCTCTTACCACTTAACATTTATATAAAAAATTTAACAGAGTAATTATGTTTTGAATGTGTAGGTTTCATAAATTTAGACCGTTTTGAGCAGTTGTGTTCGAAGGAATTTATTGAAATCCATTGAAGTCAATACTGGTCATATTATACAATTGCTCAATTATTGATAAAAAATATATTTACTTGCATCAAACTGGTTTTTGCTGTAGTGCTTGTACAAGATTTAAATTTGAAAGAATTTGTATGCATCCATACACAAGCTGCAGGAGTCAGATATGACTGATCACGGTTGGAGAAAGATGACTGACAATGGTGGAGGATTTGCTGCTCGACAGATCCTGAGCTCATTGACAAATATCTGATCTTGTAAGATGTGCTCCCAACCCTCTACGGACACCTTGGCAATTGAATCATCATTGGCTAGTACATTTTTTAGTTTACTCGCCAGACTGATATACTAGGCCTATATGTGGCAGCATCATGTTGTGGGGGTGTTTTTCAGCTGCAGGGACAGGACGACTGGTTGGAATTGAGGGAAAGATGAATGCGGCCAAGTACAGGGATATCCTGGACGAAAACCTTCTCCAGAGTGCTCAGGACCTCAGACTGGGCCGAAGGTTTACCTTCCAACAAGACAATGACCCTAAGCACACAGCTAAAATAACGAAGGAGTGGCTTCACAACAACTCTGTGACTGTTCTTGAATGGCCCAGCCAGAGCCCTGACTTAAACCCAATTGAGCATCTCTGGAGAGACCTAAAAATGGCTGTCCACCAACGTGAACCATTCAACCTGACAGAACTGGAGAGGATCTGCAAGGAGGAATGGCAGAGGATCCCCAAATCCAGGTGTGAAAAACTTGTTGCATCTTTCCCAAAAAGACTCATGGCTGTATTAGATCAAAAGGGTGCTTCTACTAAATATTGAGCAGTAATACTTAGGACCATGTGATATTTCAGTTTTTTTTTTTTATAAATCTGCAAAAATGTCAACAATTCTGTGTTTTTCTGTCAATATGGGGTGCTGTGTGTACATTAATGAGGAAAAAATTAACTTAAATGATTTTAGCAAATGGCTGCAATATAACAGAGTGAAAAATTTAAGGGGGTCTGAATACTTTCCGTACCCACTGTATATATACATACATAGTGTTGGCACCAGTTCACCCAGTGCCCCCCATGTTGTTTCTCCCCTCTCCTCCCGCGGGGTTATGCAAGAGAGAGGAGGTGGTTTGGGAAAGACAAAAGTGTGTGAAACAAATAAAACTGTTCCCTGTGCATTCAGGCTAGTGTTAATTTTGTCAGCTATTTTTTATTTAGTCTTGGTTTTAGTCCTGTGTCAAATGTTATTTTTAGTTTTTATATTTAGTCAACTAAATGTCTGAGAATTTTAGTCTAGCTTTAGTCAGAGGAAACTTACACATTTTCGTCTTACTGTATAATGGTTAAAATTATGAAAAAATACATATTTTGCTAAATTTTAATTGCAATGATTTGGGAAATTTATTTTTACATTTCATCAGAAGTTGCTCTTTCACCAATAAGCACAAATCAATAGAATATTGACTGGTATGCATGGTTTATTTTACCTCATCTAAAGTTAGTGTACAGATTTATAACAGGACATCAATTTAGAGGCTCAATTAACACCAAAGACTTGAGATTATTGTTGCCAACTTTACAGAAAGATTTCAATTAAAGAGAACATATTAGATTTAATATGGGCTGCTTTTGGTGCTTGACACTCTTTTATTTGTCATTTTGTGTTTAAAGAATAAGGTCCAAGGTTAAGAATATGCTAGAAGTTACTTAAATATAAAATGTTTTTCTCTATTTAACATTACAATAGTGAAAGACGACTTCCATTATTGATCACGTCTTCCCTCAGGTAGATAAGCCTACATTTTTTCTTGCACGGCTGGATGTTGAAGTCATGAAAAATAATCACGTTGTTTGCATTCGCCAAAACAGATTTGCTGAAAACAAAAAACACTGAGGGTGACGGTAATAGGCATTAGCTCAAATCCCACTCGCTGTGAAGCAGGAGTGACCAGCCGGCAGAGGATTCCGCATCGTCTTAAGCCTTCCTCGAACAGTTATATTCACGATTTGTGATTTACTTAACGCACACTGGTCATGCGTGTGAGGGGGCTGTGACTGGATGATGACAGGTGTTGGTAATCATTCTTAAGTGTCGTGATCAGCGTAGCAATTAAACGGGACAAGGGAGGTTACATACAGGACAAATCAATTAGGTCCAATATTTGGGACGTCCCGGCTAATAAAGGACAGTTGGCAACCCTACTTCAGATATACACTCGCCCTGTCTACGTTATGAAAACTGTTGTAACAAAAACCTACTCTCAAATATTATAACAGAGAAATGATAGTATAACAAACAATAGTAATTCCAATAATGTTTCTCTTTTAAAACAACGTCAAAAAGACTTATTGCTGCACAGAGGTTGCGTAAGTAATGTTACAATCCACAACCACTATCGCAAACAATACAGTCGAGATCCATGACAGAACACAAACAGGCTGAATGACTTTCATTTAAGCAGAATACCTCAAATGGAGATCACTGAACTCCAACTTACTTGTACAGTACTATATGTTGGTGTTTTCAGATCACTGCGCCTCCGCAAGGAGAGCGTTTGTGAATGGTTGCCAGATTGCATAAAGCAAAAAGCCGGGCAGACCAGGCAGAGTACGTATCCGTTTAACAGAAAAGCTCTGATTGGGGGATTTGAGGTCTTGATATCTGGCAACAACAAACATGAACGCTCGCATAATAGAGTCTTGTACAGCAGTCTGAAATGTTTTGGCTCCACTTTTTTCAACAAAAATTAAAAAGTTTTGGTAAAGTTTTTGTTCTTTTGACTACATTTTAGTCTCGTCTTTTTTTGTCAACGATATTGCATGTTCATTTAGTCTCTGTTATCGTTTAATGACCTTATTATCATCTCATCATGGTCTCATTTTCGTCAGGGGAAAAAAAACCTTGTTGACAGACATTTTTCGTCATAGTTTTCATTAACGAAATTAACACTAATCCAGGCTGCAGGCCAAGGGCACAGAAATGTCTGAAAATGAACTCAAAAATACCCAAATCAGAGCTGAAACCCCTAGCTCCGCCTTCAGATGGTGCCGCCGCGCCATCAGTGAGCGAGAGCTACAGCAGTCTGCCCTCACGGAGAGTTGGCGCGCATGCGCAGTACACCCTTGGGTTTTATCTACAATAAAACAGGGTTATCGCCTGCAGTTTGCTGTAAAACCACCATTTTTCAAAGGTGTGTTAATGTCAGCTGCAGAAGGGGACTCAGCTCAGATCGGCTGTCATTAGCTCCACGGGTTTTCAGCAAATGTGTCGAAGCAGTTCTGACTCCGCTGAGAATAGGGGGCCTCAGAGTGCCAGCTTATTAGTACTATCTGCTTATCTGCGCTCCGTTGCGGCAGCAGGCAGAGACAGATACAAGAACGCCTGTGTCTCATTTACAGAACTTGGGGTTCAAAATAAACGAGACGGAAAGCTGCTTGGTGCCCACACAGGAGATAATCTACCTGGGTTTCAGACTGAACTCAGTCCTGTATCAAGCGTTTCTGTCAGAGGAGCGCATTAGGTTGATTTGCGGCTGTTTATCCCTTTTTCAGAAAGGGAGAAAATTCCCATTCAGACTATGCTTATGCCTGCTTACGCGTTTCTCGAATCAGGGACTATGCTGGGAGCAGTTTCTCTGAGAAAGGTGGTGACGACAGATGCTTCGCTCACAGGCTGGGGTGCAGTGTGTGAGGGCAGGATAGCGAAAGGGAAATGGCCCGTCTTGCTACAGAACGCACACAAACTTCCTGGAACTGTTGACAGTGTTTCTAGCATTAAAACATTTTGTACAGTTCCTAGGGACCACCATGTTTTGATCAGACCAGACAACACAACGGCGGTGGCATACATAAATCATCAAGGGGGCACATGCTCCCCTCAGCATCACAATTTGGCATGAAAATTGATTGTGTGGGGCACGAAGCATTTCCAGTCACTACGGGCGACGTATGTCCCAGGAATAATAAATGTGGGGAGAGATCTCCTATCCAGGGGAAATCCCCTGTACGGAGAATGGACTTCCCACCCTCAAGTAGTGAGCCAGCTGCGGGAGAGGTTCGGCTGAGCTGCCATAGATCTCTTCACCTCGCACGAAAACACGCATTGCCCACTATTCTTCTTGCTGGCGAAAGAAGGTGCGCCTATGGGTGTGGATGC